CTTAGCAAAGCGCATCCCAGGCTGCATAGCCGCACTACCCTACCCAACCATACCACACATAAACATGACACTACCCCCGGGGTTTACACAGACGAGCCGGCGAAGCAAGAAGAGCGCCAGAAGAAAGGGCCCTAGCCGGCGGGGCCCAGCCAGGACAAAAGGAGGTCCCACAAAGCGCCTACACCGGCCGCATTTGCGGTCGGGGTAGACGACGGATGGGGCCCACCTACGAAGGCTGTCCAGGCCTACACGAGATGAGGCAGGATAAAGAGGGATAATCCCCCACGATCCCAAATCATTGAGGCCAATTTCTAGCCATGGAATAATGGCGTGTAGACCTGGACAGCCTCGCTCCGTTATTTTTGGCATTAAACGTGGCCTCGATAATTTGGGACCGAGGGAGACTATCCCTCTTTGTCCTGCCTTATTTCTGTAGGCCTGGCCAGCTGCTTCGTGAAAGTGGGATCCAAGGATATTTATAATACATGTATTATAAATATCCTTGGGTGGGCTCCTTCCGTCGTCGACCTCGACCAGAAGTGTGGCCGGTGTAGGCGGTTTGTGGTACCTCCTCTTGTCCTAGTTGACCCACGCCGGCAGGAGGTCTCTTCTGGCGCTTTTCTTGTCTTTTCACTTCTTTCTTTGCCGATTTGTATAACCCCCGGGGTAGTCTCCGTCGCGGGTGCGTGTGGCGGTACCACGGCGTACTGGTGCAGGGAAGGGTCATCGACACCCTGAAACGTAAAGATCCGAGATCCGGGACGGATCAATACGAAGAACCGGATCAGTCATATTCCGGCCATGGTGCCCATCTCTATTGCCTATAGACCTTATAGTTTGTCAGTCCATGAGCACCTATGGTCTATGGGTTTGGGTCACTAAAAACGGCTAAAAAACACCGCTTATAAAAATTTAAAGATTAGAATTTACAACCTTACATTTTCACTCCTAATATATTTTATAAATATTTTTATTATATAATTATTATGGATAAAATTTTATACTCTAACATTAAGACTGTAAGTCTTAGTTGATCTGTACTATTTCATAACACTAAAATGTCTATTTAGGTTTCTAGGTTATTAGTTGATGGATCTATAAATACAACCGATTTAATAAATTTGTCTTTAAAGAAAGCATTGGAAAATCAAAAATATAACGCATTTATAACTATTACCCACAGTGAAGCCATAGATCAATCTAAAAAATCTACAAAAAGATATGCTAGTAAAACTTCTTTATCTGAACTTGATGGCATTCCAATAGCAATCAAAGATAATTTTTGTACTGAAAATATTAAAACTACATGTGCTTCTAAAATGTTAGAAAATTTTGTACCAACTTATAATGCTACTGTATATCAAAGGCTATTAGATGCAGGTGCAATTTTAATAGGAAAAACGAATTTAGATCAATTTGCAATGGGTTCTGGTACAGTAGATTCACTATACGGACCTACAAAAAATATATGGAAAAATGATGATGAAAATTTCCATATTGCCGGAGGAAGTAGTGGCGGCAGTGCAGTAGCTACTGCAACAGGAACGTGTTTCGCGTACGTATTTATGTGGTATTAATAAAAAATATTTTATGATACTTATTTTTAAACTTTCTTATATTATTTTTCTTTTTCAAAATCAAATGTTTATTTGAATTATGAGCCAACTTATTTGGTCATTGTTATAACTAGTATTATATGATGAAATGGTTTCTTGAATACTTCAGAGCTATTGGTTCAGACACAGGAGGATCTACAAGAAATCCAGCTTCTTATTGTGGAATAGTTGGATTAAAACCAACATACGGTTTAGTTTCGAGATTAGGATTAATACCACTGGTTAATTCGATGGATGTACCAGGTATATTAACCAGAACAGTTGATGACTGTGTTAGTATCTTAAATGTTATAGCGGGTTTTGATCCAAAAGACTCAACGTCACTAACTAAGCCATACAAAAAAATCAGGTGCACAGTGTCTTTTGTACAGTTTTACTATTTTTAACAAATAAAATTGTAGATTGCCTCCTGCTAACAAAATGAGTATAAAAGGTTTAAAAATTGGAATGCCTCCTGAATATTGCTGTGATCATTTAAGTCAAGAAGTATTAGACATTTGGAATGATATTGCCCAAATTCTAGAAAATGATGGTGCTATTGTAAAAAAGGTAATCTTTTTCACAGAAACATAAAACTTTTGATTTATAATTTCTCATATAATTTAATAATTACTTCAAAAAGTAAATGATAATTTTAAAATACAAAAATAAAAAAATGTATGTACTTAATCTTTTCACAATTTATCTAGATTTGATGACCTCAAAAGTTCTTGGGTATGATATTTTAATACATAATTTGTTTTTATAGGTTTCTATGCCCCATACAAAATTCAGTATAGTCTGTTATTCAATTCTTAATCAGTGTGAAGTGGCAAGTAATATGGCCAGATACGACGGTGTCGAGTATGGTTTTCGGGCTAATGAAAATTCTTCAACTGAAAAACTGTACGCGGAGAGTAGAATGATAGGCTTCAACGAGGTTGTTCGAAATAGAATTCTAGCCGGAAATTATTTCTTACTTTCCAGGTAACAGTATTGTTCTTATACAAGTAATTTCTTCATTAATTACATCTATTCCAGAAATTATGACAAATATTTCGTTCAAGCATTAAAAGTTCGGAGATTGATATGTAATGATTTTGACAATGTTTGGAATGATGTTCAAATACTACTCACCCCTACAACCCTTACCGATGCTCCATTATATAAAGACTTTATTGGGAAGACCAACAGAGATCAGTGTGCTGTGCAAGATTATTGTACCCAACCTGCTAATATGGCTGGTAAGTATTAACACATCAGTATTATGTTCTATCCATTCAATAGATAATTCTTATGTAAGACCATGTAAGGTTAGTGAACAACTAATTATGGCATTTATAGGCTGTTAGCATGTGGGGGTATCGTAGTCAACGCCCTCAAATTATTTAATAAATACTTTTATTTTATTATCTTATTATAACAGTTGAAGTGTTTAGATCTGACGGCACTGAACACATTACCCCATGGCCCCCAGGAAACATAAACTTTCCTAAAACTGTGAACAATGTCAAAAATTAAACAAACTTCTCAAAAGTAATCAAACGCAAAGTTTGTTGTTTACAATAGTCGGTGTTAATATCAAAAACTTGGTAAGGAAATTGGTGGTATAGTTTTTCCGATATCAATTTAAGAACTATACTCTGTTTGGAAATAAAAGAGAGTAATAAAACCCCGAGATAAGAACCGGCCATGGGCGTGCTAAAATTTAGTTTCAGGTGATTATCGGGTAACACTAATGCTAACAGGTAATGGGTGTACATTAGTATATTTTACTGGATACATCATAGGGCAGGAGCCAGTGTATTGTGACAGATCAATCCAGTCTTAGAGCTGAATATACGAAGACGTGCTAGTGCAGTAGAGTAAAATTCGACTTGTGTTTAGTGACTATTGTGCCAGTGGATATAATATTGTTTGGGTAAAATGTCGAGCTTATCAGATTACGTACCTGCTAAACGCGTGAAAAGATGTGCGCTGTCTCAGAATGAGAAGATTATTATATTAAATGTATTTAATGCATTGAAACACCAAAATCCTACCAACAGTGTTGACGACATCGTGGAAAAGTGTTCCAAAATGACAGGGATTGGAAAATCGACTATCTACAGACTTTTAAAGGAAACAAAAAATGAACAAGATACTGTAAATCCCCCAAAATCATCTACAGGGAGGTCAAAAGTCGTTATAGATGATTTCTTCAAAAATGTCATTCGCAGAAAAGTACACTCATTTTATTTTAAAAAAGAAATACCAACGCTAAACAAAATTTTAAGTGAACTTTCAGAGGACAACGATTTGCCAAAAATCAGTAGAAGCAAATTATGGGCCGTCTTACGAGAGTTGAATTTTTGCTGGGAAAAGCAGAACAGGAAGTCAGTTCTTATCGATAAAGATGAAATTATTTGTTGGCGAAGATCCTACTTAAGATCAATTAGAAAATTCCGTGACGAAGGGAGGAATATTTATTATCTAGACGAAACTTGGGTCAACGAGGGATATACTGTAACAAAAGTATGGCAAGATAAAAATGTAAAAAGTTTTCGACAAGCATTTTTGGATGGACTTTCAACAGGGTTCAAGGCACCTTCAGGTAAAGGGCGAAGATTAATAGTGACACATATAGGTAGTGCCAGTGGTTTTGTAGATGGCGGTTTACTTTTATTTGAATCTAAAAATACAGGTGACTATCACGAAGACATGAACGCAGATGTTTTCGAAGAGTATTTTACACAGATGTTGGATCTTATTCCTCCGGGGTCTGTAATTGTCATGGATAATGCCAGTTACCATTCACGGCAGACCGAGCGGACGCCTACGACTGCTTGGAGGAAAGCCGATATAATTCAATGGTTATCCGGAAAAAACATTTCTTTTGAAACAAATATGGTGAAAAAGGAACTTTTGACACTTGTCAATCTTAATAAAGATCAGAAAAAATATGTTATCGATGAAATGGCAACAAATCGCCAAATAACGGTACTACGGTTACCACCTTATCACTGTGAACTTAACCCAATCGAATTAGTCTGGGCGCAGGTAAAAGGAGATGTAGCGCGAAATAATACGACGTTTAAATTAAGTGACGTGAAAATTTTGTTAAAAAATTCCTTGGAACGAGTAACTGCAGATAACTGGCAAAGATGTATACATCATGTACAAAAAGAAGAGGAGAAAATGTGGGAACTCGATAATTTAATTGACGTTACTGTGGAACCTATCGTTATCAATCTAGGAGACGAAGATAATTCATCAGAATATTCAGAGGATGAATTTTAATATACCTACTTTTTTATTTTCTTTATTGTACATTTATACAACACTACATTTACTCACCATAATTTGAATTTTCAAAATACATATATTTTTGTGTGGAATAAAAGTCTATTCATTAAATTTAAATAAATATTTTGATAATAATATTGAATAATTTTATTTGAATTACTAAAAACCCTCTTAACCCGGTTATGATGCTTAAAGTAGCCTCATGTTTTGAAATGCTGTTTTTATATTGTTTACTTATAAGAGAAATGGACCGAGAAATTGAAGCGGCATAGACAAAGACGGATTGTCGGGGATTAAATTTTAGCTACCTGCTACAATTTAGTACAGTCCGATCGCACAAAGTTTTGTTAAAAGTAGACATGATCTATACCGAAAATGCATAATATAAAAATATTGAATATAAGCACCAGTACTACATTTATTTACGATTTGCATACATAATGAGCTTTTATTACTCTCTTTCATTTCTAAACAGACTATAAGAGGATGACAGTATGTACCAGTTTCGGTCGCTGACGCAGCAACTCGGCATTAAAATATTTGAAAAACTTGTTCCCATATTTATTTAGCCATACCCATATACAGGTCTAGTCGAACTAAACATGGAAGTGGTAGAAATATATACGCCCAGTTGAAGAAAGCGAGTGCGGGTAAACGAAATCCGAGCACAGCTGCATTGGGCTACAGGGCAATAAATCTCAGCTGCTGACAAGTGGTTGACAAATTGCCCAGCAGTGCAGTGCAGCAATGCGGGATTTGGTGTGATTCAGGTAATTTTAATTTATTATAGGCACCTTCTATTAATCATTCATATTACAATTGCGAAAGAGAGAAATAAGAGGAATATTTTGTTTACTAATATTATTACAACATGGCATTTTTTAGACCTTTTGAAATGGAACAAATCGAAATTTGCCATCAATATAATAAAATTGTTTGAGTACATAAATAATTAAAATATGTTGTTGACCAAATGAACATATAATAGAAATTTTCTGCACATTATACAGGGTGATTCAGTCATAATGTCATTAATTTTAACCACGTATTCGGAAGGCTTAATAAAGACAGAAAATCGGACTCGACTTTTAAAAATGAAGGAAATCAACCCATAACTCCCACTACGAGGGCGGCTCTGGCAGATGCCCGGATGCTCGGAAAGTTTTTTATAGCCATTTAAACATTTAATTTGTTGATAACAATTAAACTCCCCAGTTTCAGACTTTGCAACCAAGTTTTTTGGATTCAGGAGCTCAAAATACTACGAATAAGTTGTTTGCAGCCGTGGCTCTCCGTTGGCCACGGCACCCTATCTGGCTCCTGGACTATTTGTACACGTGCAAATTAAAGTGGGTCATTGACCTAGATACAGGTTAACCTAGGTCGGAAACACGTACCAGTTGTTTATTTGTCACCGTCCGATTGTTTTTTATCTTCTATTACTTAGTCAATATTTAAATACTACATACATTTCACCCTTTCTTTATAATTTATCAAGTGAGTGTTGGTTTTATATGTCATTATTTTTGTAATGAAATTGAAATAGGTGTGAAATGAAATTGAAATTATTTGAACTCTTGGAGTTTTGTAACTTCAATATTAAATTTTATTTAAAGTGAAACAGAGCTAATTTCTTTGCAGCCATAATAGTCATAATAGTAAGCCCGAAGGCTTACAGCAAAAAATTAACATTATGATGTTAATAAAAACTGATTTTTGGCAAGGCATGCTCAGACCTCCTCGAGGTTCTTGCTGGGCAACAATAACAATTTAATGTGTTGATTGCATAATTATAAAAAATAATTTATAGCATTTTAAATTATTATTTGCTGACGTGAGGAAACCGTTTATTTATTGTCTTTATATGAGCAAAAATATATAAATACGGCAACGTTGCATCTAGGGCGCGTTTTTCATATCGTAGCCGGCTGACGTCAGCCGGTCAGTAACAGCCTGAAAAGGGGGTTAAATAATGATTTGAAAAATTTTTTTTTCTGCTTAAATATGCATTTAATTTTTTTTTGAATCACGCCATCGTATTATACTCATCTTTCTCTATCTGCTCTTAAAATTAATGAAATTATGACTGAATCGCTCTGTATACAAATTATTATATATTTTACTTTTATTAGGAAACTTTTTTTAAGGACGCCTATAAAACTCATTAAATTTTATTGCCAGGCGTTTTTTACATATTCAACTGACTTTGGAAAGACTATAGTATCCTTTAATGCTATACTTAAGGCCTACTGAAGTTTGGGAGTTAAAAAATTGTATAATCATATCTGGGAGAGAATAGATTTTGCTACAATATTTTTATAGCTTTTGTCTTATGGTATAATATACTGACGCGAATTGAAAGCAATCCACCATTAATATTTTTGATTTTCTGAAGTCATCAAGACACATAAAAATGTTTATTGCCATTTTTTTCAGAAATGTAGCAGATTATTGGTACTGAAAAATACTTGACTTTCCTAAATAAATAACATTTAATTACCTGCTGGATTACCATTATGAATGAGAAAAACTATTCCTCCATAAGATTATTGCAATTGACTTTTACTGACTTTTATTTGAATCTGAACAGATATTTCTTCTTTGTATCCATGTTGATAGGAAACTTCTTAATTAAAAGTCATTTTTATCCCCCCTGTTTCAGTTTCATATTGTAGAAACGCTATGTAGAAATACTTTTGTCAAAAATGATCGCAGGATGTTGTTAAAATTAAAGTATTATTTAGAATACTACTATTAAAAGATTATATATTAAAAATGCTGCACATGTTTAGTCAAATTATCACCCATTCTAGCCATGTTTATCGTTCTATATAATTATCTAATTTTTAACTTCTTACAGGTGTACCAGCAATTTCGATACCCATTAAATTGTCTAAAAAAGGACTACCTTTAAGCCTGCAGTTAATTGGAAGAAACCTAAGTGAACCTATGTTATTAGCTTTAGCTAAATACATTGAAAATATTGTACAATTTCCTTCTTTTGCAGATAAATTAAAAAATAATGAAAATTAGATGTGAATTTAAAGTTTTGTTTACTTTTAATTTTCAACAAATTAAAAGAATTATAAATTAAAATTTGCTAATATTAATTTATAGTAAATTTACTTTTTTTTTCGAAAATGAAATTTCAGAAAAATTGTATATAGGACCTTGTTAATAATCGGCCAAACGTCACCAATAGATTCTGCAATATAAAGGTGGGTAGTTCAAATAAAATTTTGTTAAAAAGTACTTCGTTTCTGAGAATACAGGATATATTTGAAAAAAAATAAAATATTTTCAGGGATATCTCGGAAACACTTTTTTAAATTTGAAATGGAGATTGCAGACCTCCATTATCATTTACAATTTCAATGTAAACATAAAAAACAATTGGCACCGACTTCATTCCTCAGGTCCTTTCATAAAAAATAAGTCTTATACCACCATGTGAAACAGAAATAAAGATAAAATTTTCAATGATTTTTAAGTATAAAATATATTATGCTGTTGGATAACGTTAAAATACAATATTACAAAGACAAATTTATTGGAATTTTTTACTGCAGTCATCAGTTACAGCCTATTTGGTGTTATTCTTTGTGATTTTAGGCCAATTTGCTCTATTGAAATTTTAAATATTACTTTTTGTATGTACATGAAGTATACCTGAAAATGAACTCCACTACATCAAATTACAAAAAAATATCTCAAATAATTTCCAAGACATGCCTGAATAGTTTTAATTATTTTAACCTCCCTCTACACTGTTTTTCAAAAATGATGCATTTTTCCTAAAAATTTCAATGGTGTCACACATAATGGTGAAATTTGGATTTAAGCATTGGTTTTGAAGCAGGCAAACAACACTTGCGTACACCACGGCACAAATAAATCATTCATCGGCTCACAATACAGGACATAGTTAAAACATCTTAATTTTTGTTATACAAAAATCGCCACGACCTCATTTATTAATATTAAGGTCTGAAATTTACACATGTTATAGTTGAATACTTGTACTTCAATATAAAAAGTTATGAATTTGTATTTACATAATGGTATGTACCTTATTGAGATAATAAAATAATAAAAGTAATAACATAAATTAGAACATTTTAAACCATTTTTTCGGCAGCTACATGTATTAGTTTTGCAATCACCGCTTTCGCATCTACTTGTTTAATAAATCGAGAATTTTTGAAAAAATTGCGATTTTTAGCCGTTTTTTGCAATTACTAATTAATTTATTTATCGATCAAAATCGGTTTGGGCTTATTCGATCCGTATTAAAAGTTCCTACAACTTTTGTTAGAAACATTTATTTAAATGTTTAATTTTTTTTATAATTGAAAAAAACTGTTTTTTGCAATCTTTGGACGCTATTTTGAAAATGAAGCCCAAAAATTCAGGTGGGGTAAAGTAGTGCATTAAATTCTACAGAATTTTTCCTAATTTTTACATATTTTCAATTACTGAACTACTTTTTGGCAAAAAAATTAGGTATTTTTGACAATTTGATTGGACTATAAGTGAAAGTATAAACAGTCAGACAGAACATAAGGGTAGATTTACGTATTTACATGTTGATTGAAAACTTTACTAGATGCTAAACAACTCTTTACTGAGATACAGCACATTCTACATTTTCAGGAGTTAAATTTGTTCTCGAGGATTAATCTGCCTATTCTGCAAATTTCTTGGTATTCAGTCAAATAGCGAATACTGTAATAATTAAATTGAAAATAAGCAGATTTAAGTATTTAATTTTAGATTAAAATAAAACCATTTGCAAATTGTTTAATTATATTTCAATAATGTTACTGTAAATATAAACAAAGATTAGTGAGACTTAAATTAGAAATAAATGTATCCTTATTTTCTAAAAATAAAATAAAAAAACAGCTGAAATCTATTTGAATCTCTTCATCATAATTAAGTACAAGGAAGTGTAAAAATATCACTTTCACCATTTTCAGGAAGTAGCCGAGGTCTTTTCTCCTCAGACATTGCCGGCTTCTAAAAATAGTTGTTCTGACAGATGTTGAAAGGTATTTAGCAGCTAACTTTTATTAGCACAAACATGGAAATGGACTCTTGTTCCTGACCCACCACGAATGGGGGCTTGACTACTGTGGAATACATTTCATTTTTAAATATGAACTCGGTAGCACTTATGTTCTTATCAATGGACATATTATAATTTCCAGAATGCTTTTCCGGAACTACCAAAATGATTGTGAGTGTACCTACTTGTTCTTATCTTCTTCAGTATTCCTTTTTTTCACGAGAATTGATTTTGTACTTTCATAAGTTGATATTGACGAGTCTAGTAAGACATATTACCTGACCTTTTTAACTTACAGCTGCTCAGTGAACAAATTTGTTTTGTATCATAGCTCAAGTATAGTTATCAAGAATTTTTTATTATCTGTGATATTATTGAAGCAATTGTTGATACCCTGTTCAATAGCAATTCGTACATTGTAGGTACATTATGGTTTTAACTTGCTTATGCTAATGCTTATGCTAATGTTTTTCTAGAGTGAATATATGTAACAGAAAAGCATGAAAGTTTGGTATTTACAATCTTTGTTACCTCTACAAATGGTTCGCATTTTTTGCTCCAGAAACCTCGCCAGCATGTAATAAGTGAAATTCCGTCTAGTACTAACATCTAAACTAGTTTGTGTTGAGGAAGACAAAAATCTTGAAATTTGTGGAACTTTTTCAGGGCAGTACCAGAGGGGTTTGGAATGAGTTATCATTTTCTAACTACAAAAAATAATTTTGTAGTGATTGTGTTTTCAATGTGTCATTAATTATATTAACTGGAGAGTGAATAAAACAACATATCGATTAAAAAAAACTGATTGATGGTTATCTGGAATCTGGAATTTTAGAGAGGGTAGCTTAAAAAGCTACAGCATTTAGGCCCCATTGGGCCCCTTGTACTTCCTCCCATTAGGAGATCAATCCACCAGAGCCTACCTATTACAGAGAAAAAGGTGGTGACGTTGATCAGGGAGATCTCTCTAATATAGGCCATACAAGGCCAACGTTCTCCCAATAAGAGAATCCAGTTATCATGAATGGATGGTATGAGTTTTTGTACTTTGGAATTCCCATACGTTGGATATTTATTGCAGAGTGCAAGCTACAAGTATATTTTGTATAATCCTTAAAAAAATAATAAATGTGTCACATTTAACACAAAGTGCTTAAAAATTAGAATTGATCCAATATTTAGTGAAGCTCAAGAAACTTATGCAATTAGTTAAACAGGCTCATGTCTGACGTAAACAAAATATAGTTTGCAATATTTTTTTATTTTCGTCACCATCTTATCATAAAGTCTCATCATTGTGAAAAGTAAAACCAGCTGAGTATTTTTTCCGGCAGTAAAACTGCCTTTATCAGCCCATTGAAACCTGGCCTCCCAACCATATTTAATGCATCATTATCGAGAGCCACCATCTCACCAATTAAATTAAATTTTTTGACTTTTGGATTATTTATGTCCCAGGTTTTCTGACCATTGAACTCGTGAAGATTCAACTGTTTAGTTTTCATTTTACTGGTACCTGCTTCTCATTCTCCTTTAGGCAATGAAGGCTCAATTCGTTGAAACTCGTCAGCATGTTTATTTTTTAAATGCTTCAAAATTCCCAATTTGTTATTCCTTGACAAATTTCCACTTTGCAGATTACACATTAACAGTTGCAAATTTTATTAATTTATTAAATTATCCAAATAAAGTGAATTATTTCTACATCAAAATAAAACACAATACTATTTGCTTACTTTCACTATAGTGGAATACAAAAGTTGCACGATTTTTTATGAATTTTTCGAAAATGATAGTAGAAAAACAAATGAAGTCCAAACAAAATGGCGGCGGATGTTAACTTTGTTAATTTAAATGGAACACCCTGTATATTTTTAAATATTTGGATAGAACGTTCTCTATCATAGCATAGCATAGTCATATGGGGATTGTTGGGTCCATCTCTAACAATAAACGAGATACCATTTAAAAAAGAAAAGAAGGTTTTTTATTAAGAAAATAAGATATCTTGTAATTGTTAGACTTCTTTGAAGCATTTCTGTCTTTTTCCAATTAAGTAAAGATTTACAATTTAGTTGTAATATATTTTGACATATTGAACATTGATATGGTCCAAAATGCATATAGGTATTTTAACTAAATCTCACTAATTAAGCCGTGAGAGGCCCAATTACTCATGGAGCCATGTGTTTATGTATATGTATGGCCTATCCAATTTTTATATTTTTATTTACGTCCTTTGATATAAAATATTTAAATATATTCTTACTCATCTGGAACTTTACAATTACAATATTTTTTCCAATAACCACAAAACAGGTTTGTTGAGTTTATTAAACAGAGTCCTGTTTAAAACAAACACAAGACAAGGGTCCAGAAAAAATATATATCAAATTTGACATTCCACGTAATACTTTTTTGAAGAAATAAGTTCTGTTTTTCTTTATGAATAGGGAGTGAGTATATGAAATAATCCATTCAATTTTTTTCCTAGACTTCACCATATTCATGCAAATGAAAATAAAGACTCGAAAACAAAAACTTTGTTTTCGATTAACACCCAAAAAACAAATTAATTCAAACTCAATAATTGCAAAACTAAATATGTTCGCATTTTTCAAAAAATTCGATTTTTAAATACTGCAAATTCTTATAGTAAATATACGTAAAAATACCATAAAGACCATTACAGAGATCAAAAGAGAGTAGATGCGCTGAGCTCACTTAGTATGTGCAGTTGCAGTTTTTTGCAAATCTCTGGGCAAATGGACAAAGACAGAACATAGGAAATACTGGACTTCAAGGCCAGGACATAGCCATTCTAAGGAGCTCATGGAGTATCTTTCGAAGGAAAGAGCAAACGATTTATTGAGCTTGAATAAAATCCGGCTCGGGAGAGTGACGGGACTCATAATGGGACACTGTCACTTTAGGAAACATCTACAGTTAAAGCTTTTAGACAGTCCGGTGTGCCGAGGATGTGACTTGGTGGA